GAAAAGAGCATTTCGATTCATTGATTTATGGAAGTATATAATATAACCGATTATTCGTTGATAATTCTTTAATAATAATTTTTTTTTCCATGTTTAATCCACGTCATCTTTCAAATAAAGGATCAATCCAAAATCTCTTTTTTTATATTTTCTTTTTAAATTTGTACAATCATTAATGCATACAGATGCTATTAGTCTATTTTGTCATAGTTCCGTTTTATTTTTGTTGTGCACAATCGCATCAACTTGACAGTACAATCATAATAGTGTTTTTGATATGACATTTTAAACTTTACACAACACAATTAATTTAACTAAAATTTTTAAAAATCAAAAATTTATCGCTGCTAATCCATTTATATGAGTGAGTAGCATATGAAATCACGTGATCAAAATTTCCAAGTCTAAAAAAATAATTTCCTTAAAATTTACAATAAAATTTCCCGAGAAATTCTTGAAAATAAAATGTAAGAAATTCCCGAGAAATTTCTGAAAAAGTAGAAAATTTTATAAAAATTTAGGGAAAAATCACAAAATTCCTGAGAAAAAATTTCCAAAAATTATTTTTTTATTTTACAATATGTTTAGTAAATAATGGCACAAACTGGAATGTAAACAAATTATTTTATTTTAATAATAAAAGTACTTCACAAATACACAAATATAGTATTATTTATATAATGTTGCGAATTGTATAACTAAAAACAAATTAAAATATATTAAAATATTTTTAGACGTTTTTAGAAAGAAATATACTTTTAGCAAACTTAACAAAGTAATATCAAATTTGAAATCACATTTACTTAATAGAAATAGGAACTTTATATTATATGTTAATTTATTATGTGTACATACACTAATTCAATCATAAAAAGTAAATCAAGATCGTTATTCTTGAGTACATGTGAATAATTTTTGCATATGAAAATGACAGTTTCTCGATTGTGATTGATGATTGTATATGCAATTATTATTTTTGTATGCGATATTTGTTCAAAAATAGGGCCTCTATATACGCTGGATGGCGACTGCGACATCTATAAGTATCTATTAAAATTCGTTAGAGAATCTTTACGCACATGTAGTTGCAAAATATGTAGTTTTATACATTTCATAACAATTGTGTTGTAACTTTTTTTCGTATTTAAAAAAATTATAAAATTTCTTGATATTTTTCCTTAAATACTGGAAAAGTTTAAAAATTTCAATAGATTTCGATTAAAATTTTGTTTTCTTATCAATTCATTAAATTTCATTGAATCTCAGGAAATTTCCCGAGACTTAGCAATTCTGTTTTACATTAGTTGCAAGCTGATCGCAAGTTTGTTGTGACAGCCAATATAAAGCGTTGATTTCAAAAACTTCAGATTGGCTGTCACAATAAACTTGCGATCAGCTTGCAACTAATGTAGAACCGACTTAAGAAAATGTATTAAGAAGGCCTTCGTTTTCTTCCTTTTCATGAAATAAAGAACTTTGATTGGTTCAATTTCTTATGCCTCACATTATAAAATAATAACACATGAGGCATAAAAAATAATAACACAACATACGTTATGCTGTACTTCCCGCTTTAGGGAACGTTTATATTGACCGTAATCGTATGGCATATGTCGTAATCTGTAAAAATTGACTAATCACCTTCGAGTATTCGCTTCTTACAATCGAATTAGAGAAAAATACTCGACTGTGATCAGTCAATTCTTAGAGTGACTACTATGCAGCGGAATAACGTAACGTGGAACGAAACTAAATATAAGCGTGCCTCACCAACTGCAATTGGTGATTGATTCCGCTCTCGTTCCGCGTTAGAGTGCCGTTTCATTAAGCATGGATCTGAATGACGAATCAGATTTCTAAGTAGAATTGACTTTCCGTTCCAGTTCCAGTTTCCGTAACAATTTTCTTTACCCGTCCCATTCAGTAAAAACGAAACGGATTATCTCGTCGATCGTAAATAAATGTGCTTGATTTATCGATATTTCGTTATTTTGAATAGTTGAAGCAATAATATATATATATATATATATATATTATTTGTGCAATTAACTTGCTGATAACTTTGTTATGAGTTCTCTAAAATATTAAATTGTAATTAATGAAATATATTTTCTAATCAGATTTCGTGCTGTTTTTCGGCGAAACGTTCGTGATTGGTCGTGGTTTTATTCCGTTGATTCCGTTCCGTTGAAATGTGTCTTCCTATGTCTTCCGATTAAGCGGAATTTGTGGAATGCGCAAATAGCTCTGACCAATTCGCAAATTCTTCCCGTAGATCATTTTTATTAGATCTATCAGAATAACGTTTGTCATTAGCTTGCATTGATTGCGCAATGCATTGATTCCAATGGAACATAGGAAGACACATTTCAATAGGAAAATGAATTTCTGCGGATCGGAAACACATACATACAGGAGCATTGCCCCGACTTCGTTTTGTGTATCCATTTTAATTTTGATTTACATTTTCGCCTTTTTGTATACTATATATATATATATATATATAGTATATATATATATACAACATTCGTGTTTTGAGCATATTGACTTCCGTATTTCTAGACACTTAATTAATTATTTTCAGAGTTATGTTCAAATTCCTATGGTATTATTCCATTCTTGTTATTTAGCGAATGTTAAACAAGGATGATATAACACCCGGAGAACACCCAGGTAATCCGAATAGGTCTCAACATATTAATTAATCCAACAAATGGAACGGATTGAAATGGATTAAAATGGATTTAGATTTTCAGAAATACGGATTCATGAATGTTAAATCCTTTTCAATCCTGAATGCATTTTTATTCATTTATAGGAATTGCATAAAGCAAATGTCTTTTCAATCCTGAATACATTTTTATTCATTTATACGAATTGTGTAGAGCATATCTCTATGTTTTTCAATCCTGAATACATTTTTATTTATTTATACGAATTGTATAGAGCATATCTCTATGCTTTTTAATCTAAAGGTAATATTAGCATTTTCTGTGCATCGTGAATACTACTCGTTTCAGAATTGTGAATAGAAAGTACGATTTTTTTAATTCAGTTAAATTCAAAAATAATATCAACAATTTCTGTGCAACATGAATACTATTCAATTCAATATTCTGAATATGAAATGCAGTTTTTCAATCTAATTGAATAAAAACAGTTTTTATTTAAACATGGACCATAAATGCTATTTAAATTATTTAAAATTATAAATTAAAAAGGAAATTTTTTGTTTTAATCCAACTAAATTCAAAAAAATTGTAGTGTAAAAATAATTGAGCTACGTTCATTTGTTTATTTTTGATTAAAATGAATGATCGATGTGAACACAGCAAGTCGAACAAGCCCGAATATTAGACTAATCACTGCGCGCGACATCAGCGAGATTAGATTATCCGATATTTACCCAATGTTGTCTCATAATAATATAAATTGTTTACATACGTTAAATGATGATATTTTTATTATATCTATATAATTTCGTTATTAATTTAGTTGGTTGTAATTGAAGTAGAGAATGAATAACACACTTTCCAATTGAAGAAGCGGTGTAGCGGCTAACATAGAAGATTCATAATCCAGAGGTTTTAAGATTTGAATCCCAATAAGATGCGTTTTTTAATATCAATTTGAAGTAGTTAATTTCAGGTATAATTATTATAAATGTCTTAGGAATAAAATTTGTAACCCTTAAAAATGAACGTTTTTTTTTTTTGAATATTAAACTAGTGTCAGCTTGGATCCAATCCATTTCAACTCATTCAACCTATTTTCATGGATTTAAAGGACACATTAAAAAATTTTTAATCCATTTTAATTCATTTTCGTTTGCTGAGAACTATGCTGAAGAAAACAGTCTCCATTTAAACGTTTAAACCAGTTAATCGAGGTTAGTTTTTATAAGTATATGTAGATAAAAATTGATCTCGATCCTGAAGCCTGAAGCTGATTTAAATGTTTAAAGATTAGCGATTACGAGGATAGTAATGAATTATGTAATCAAAAGCCCTGAGGCATTAAGTTGATACATCTGTGCTTAGAGTGTTAATTTTGCACAACATACATATAGAAACAATATTTCAAGTTTTATTTTGCGTCTAATAATTAATAATGTAAGTTTAGAATTATTGTACTGCGTTAATATCAATCAATACTGAGTATTAATGAAACTTTATCCCTAGGATGGAAAGTGAAAAGTGAAAATTTTTATCATTAATGGAGAAATTTTTACGATTACATGTAGCGCGGTACGCAGTATGCGGTACAGAAACTAACTAGGTAACTACAGAAATTGCGTAAACCGTGCCGCTTGCTTCTTTTCTCTTCTATTAGAGTGTCATCCCATGACGCGTGTCACTGTAAGCGCATATTCGCATATTGAAGAATCCAACCAATCACTGACAATCTGCCGTTTACGCGACAATTGTGTCTTAATGTTCCATAGTGCGTAACAATATTAAGGACACAATTGTCGAGTACGTAATGTCACGCGCAACAACTTCATTTTTCTTGTCTAATAATTATTTTTGAACAAACTTGCTAACAGGCTTGAGTAATAGAATTTATTTACACTTCAGCATATTCAGCATATACAAAAAGGGGACTTGGTTTACAGAAATACTTATAATTCATTCACACTTACATTCCTCTCTCACATTTATCTTACAACTACAAACCTAAACTATTATTATACATTCTCTTTTACCTATACATAATCTCTATCATAACCCTATCACAATCTATCACATCTATTATTATTGTCCAACTATAATATGCTACATTACAATCTTATACTCATAGCCTTGTAGTCTTATATAAGATGTAGTAAAAAGAAATCAATTATTTTTCCAGTAGATGGCTTTAGTAATCTGCATCTCGCGTTGTATAAGTGCGATCGGGTTACGCTAAATGGCGTTAGAAAGATAAGATTTCGTACTAAAAAAACTTCTCAGACAGTTTTGTGATTGCTTAACTCAGTATTGTTTGAGTGCGCGTCAAAGATGGACACCAGCAAAGAGAAAATACGTCATATTTTACAATTTTTCTTCGATAAAGACGAAAACGCAAGCCAGGCGGCTGAAAATGTGAATAGTGTTTATAGTCCTGATACTGTAACAGCCAATCACGTGCAATTTTGGTTTCGTCGATTTCGTTCCGATAATTTTCATATCAAAGATGCACCACGCTCTGGAAGGCCAATTGTCGAAAATGGTGATAAAATAATGGAAATCGTTGAGTCCAACCGTCATGTAAGCACTGTTTCGATTGTCCAGGAGCTGAACATTGTACAAAAAACCATTTGGAACCACTTGAATAAGGTTGGATATAAAAAGAAGCTCAATGTATGGGTGCCATACGAGTTAACGCAAAAAAATCTCATGGATCAAATTTCCATTTCTGCGAATCGCTGCTGAATCGCAATAAAATCGACCCATTTCTGAAGCGGATAGTGATTGGTGATGAAAAGTGGGTCACTTACGACAACATCAAGCGAAAACGGTCGAATCGCGGTGAGCCAGCGCAAACGGTGGCCAAGCCAGGATTGACGGCCAGGAAGGTTTTGCTGTGTGTTTGGTGGGATCGGCAGGGAATCATCTATGAGCTGCTCCCCTATGGCCAGACTCTTAATTCGGATCTGTACTGTCAACAATTGGATCGTCTGAAGAAAGCAATCGCCCAGAAGCGGCCAGCGTTGGCCAATAGGAGAGGAATTGTTCCATCAGGACAACGCAAGGCCACACACATCGATAGTGACTCGCCAGCTCCGGGAGCTTGGTTGGGAGGTTCTTATGCACCTTATAGTCCGGACCTGGCTCCGGTGATTACCACCTGTTCCTGTCTATGGCGAATAATTTTGCTGGTGAAAAATTCGCCTCAAGAGAAACTTGTGAAAATCGACTGTCCCAGTTTTTTGCCAATAGGGACGAGGGTTTCTATGAGAGAGGCATAATGAAATTACCTTTAAAATAGCAACAAGTTGTCGAACAAAACGGTGCATATTTGACCTAAATCGGATCATTCTAACTATACTAAATAAAGCCTTCAATTTCATGCAAAAATAATGGATTTCTTTTTACTACACTTTATAAAATACTCATTCCTTGTCTTCACATTATCTTTATCATTATATATAGTCTCTATTTATATCTTTTCCTTGCTTTCTTCTTTCTTTTTTTTTCTTTTTATTTCCTTTTCTCTATCCTTCAATAGTTTTATTTTTTCCTTTAAGTTCATTAAAATCTTCTCCTCATAATTTCCTTAGAATCTTGTCCTTATCCTTCTCCAACTCTTCAAAACTCTTGTCTCCTCATTTTTTAACATAATGCTCCAGGTTATCTTCGCTTTCATAACAGAAAAGACATCCTCCCTCTTCTATTCGTAGCCAGTATTTATTCTTCCCTTCTAAATTATCGCATCTTAATTTAAATAACGCTTTTATCTCATCTCATCTCCTCTCTTCCATTCCATTTTCTCCACTTCAAATAATTTGGTGCTCTATTCTTCATACTTATTATTCTTTATATCTTTTATTATACCTTAACCTATCTATTTTTTCCCTTTCTCATTGCCTCTGTAAATCCCTTTCCCTATTTATTAAATTTTTTTCAAAACTTTTATTCCCATGTCTCATTACTTCCTTAGATTCAATTCCCCATCTGTTCTCATTATAATAACCCTCTCTCTCCATACTATATCTAACATTCACAGGTTTGTTATCCTCTCTGACCAAATTACCTATGTTTCCAGATTTAATCTTTTCCTCATATTTTCTTGCCTTTTTCAAATCCCATCCCTCTGAATTTATCCATTACCAGCTCTCTCATAATTACATATCTTGGGGTGCAGAAATCTAAGTCCTGACATAGTCTAACATCTTTTCTAGTTCACCTTTTTCCTCCCAGCCTCATAATTCTACTCCATGCTTACACTTTATACCAGATATTTAAATAGCATCCATCTTCTACTAAAGTCATTTCTGCATAGCTTTTTCCCTAAGCCTCCTAAGCCCCATACCTTTCTTACTACCATTTTTCCTTTTCTACTTATTTCTTTAATATGCCTTTTATAATCCCCATTCCTATCTAAATTAAAACCCAAATATTTAAATTCCTGCATCTTCTCTAGTTCCTTCTCTAGTTCCCCATTTCTATTTCTCTTTCCTTTTTTCTCTCTTCCTCCAGACACCATTATTTTCGTCTTTTCTGTGCACAGCTCCAAATTTCTCCTCTTCAAAAAATTTTTTGAACGTGCTATCATATCCTGTAACATCTCCCTATTATAAGCTATCAAAACTACACATCTTTACCAACGAGCATATTCTACTTCCTAGTCTAATTCCTCCTATTCCTCTTTTCTCTAATTCATTATCTATGTCCGCAATATATAAATTAAATAACAGTGACTCATCACACAGCCCTGCCTTACTTCTTTCGTTATTCTGAATTGTTGCGTGTATCCTTGCTTCGACCTTATCCTCACCTGCGTTTCCTCATACATCTTTTTTATCTTCTTTACCAAATATTTACTTACATCCTTGCCTTTAAGAGTCTCCTAAAGTTTGTCTATCAACCTTATCAAAGTTTTTAAATCCGCAAACATCATACATATTTTTTTCTTTCCTTCTTTCTGATTTCTTTCCTTTTGCATCAACTGCGTTAGTATGAAAATATTATCCATTGTTGACCTTCCTCTTCTAAATCTAGCTTGGCTTTCCGAAATCATATCTTTGGTTTCCTTTCCTTTTCTAATCTATATTTTATTATTTCTGTATATATTTTATACGTACACTATAACGAGATATAATATCCCTGATATAATACCTAATTTGTTATCTTCTCCTCTTCTTCTCTTTTGTATAGAGGGACAATTATACTTTCCTTCCAATCTTGTATTCCATATTTTTTGTAACAGTTCCACTAGCCTCTTCCGTAAACCCTGCATACATCCAAGCTTCCATACCATCTATTCTTGCCGCCTTTTTCTTGTTTATCTTTCGTAACGCTTAATTTCTTCAGCCTTCTTCTTCACTTTCTTTTTTATTTATATCTTCTTCTTCTTTTTCTAGCTTAAAAAGTTGACCGGTACTTTGCTATGCTTTATTTTCGTCCAATAGCTCCTTAAAATATTTCCTCCATTCCTCGTTCTTTACATTATTCTCTTTCCATATCTTCTTATCTCTCTTCCTATTAAGATATACATTTCCATATATCTGCTTCTCTCTTCAATTTTTTTCAATTCCTTCTCCTCTTTTTCTCTTTTTTCTTTTTATTTCTTCTCCATAATTCTCTGAACTCTTTCCTTTTTTCCAAATATTTTTTTTCCATTTTTCCATTTCCTACATATTCTCTTCACTTCTCTCTCTTTTTTTCCTGAAACAACTAATATCCTATCAGTTCTTGTATTCTATGTACTTTTTCTTCTTTTTGACTTTCTTCTTCACAACATTGTTGAACACAATCTGTTTTAATTCCTCCTATATAACTTTTATCTTTTCCTCATTATTTCTCTTGTTTTTATCCATATCTTCCTCGTCTTTTATACTCCGTGTTTTTATTGTAATTTTCTATAGTCTCTTTATTCCATATGATAATTTCTTCTTCTTTGATGACACTATCCTCTTCGTCCCGGTTATCTTCCGCGTCATTTTTTCTTAACCCATATCAGTTCCTTCTTCTAATATCAGGCTCAATGGCATAGAATCCATTCTCGTGTCGATCCTAAATTCTACAATTCTATCACAAATATTATCGTTAGCCATCGCATAATTTATTACCGAGCTACCTCTTGCTCCTACATACGTATATTCTCTTTCCCAATCACCTCTTGATCTTCCATTCAGAATGTGCCAGCCATACTCCGTTATCAGTTCTACAAAATCTCTACCTCCATTTCTTATCACTTTATTCTTGCTACATCTATCTTTTCCATCCTCTAAATCTTCTCCTTCTAATTCCCCAATTCTAATTATTAAAATCACCTCCTATAATTACATTCGGACTCTCCGTACATTTCCTCTTTAATCTTTTCCATCTTTATATCTAAATTTTTACCTCCTTGTTCTCCGACTGAAACTATATCTTTTCCTCACCAATCATTAACTCTGATACGATTACTCCTTCCCACTCTTTGCTAATTAATCTGTCTTTCTTATTCCTCCATCCTTTCCTCTTTCAAATTATAAAACTGCCGCTTGCCCTGCCTGTTTCTTTTCTTCCTAGCATAACTGCTATAACCCTGCAATCCCATACATGTGTCTAGGTAACCTATCCTTCACTGCATCCCAATCTTTTTTGTCTCCATGCCTCGCATAAGCTCACGAAATCATACACTTTGACATAACTCCAAAAATCCAAATCCTTTCCTCCTACATCTGTTTTACTATTATAAAATAATATTTTTCTTTATTTTTCTTATTTACTGCTTTTTATCCGTTTGCTTAATTCTGTCTTGTTTTTCCTTCTATCCATAACTTTTTCTCTTTTCTAACTACCTTACCTTTTCTTAAATTATTATTTGATTCTTCTTGGCTAAAACTTTGCTTTTGATTTTGATTTCCTATCCTCCTTTCTTCTCTCCTCTTACCTTCACCTGCCACTGTTTCCTCACCTTCTTTACTTATCTTATTTTTCCTCTTTTCTTCATCCTCCTCTCAATTCCATGCCTTCCATATTCCATCTATTCTTATTTCAAATCATTTTTAATAAAAATCTCTTCTTTTAACTTATGCTTATTCCTCATTTTTTCACTCTTTTCCTCCTCATTTCTTACTCTAATCACTATTACTGGTCCATTTATCCTCGAGAAGACTATGTTACATTCTATCCCTCAATCTTTCTTTTATAAACCATTTGATTCATTTTCTTCTTTCTTTCCCATATTTCTATCCCTTTTGATATATTATATCTGTTCTTTTACAATTATATTTTTTTTCTCTCCTCTTTTTCATTATCTAAACCCATTTTTTTTACCTTTACCTCCCTACAGCTTAAACCTCTCCCCCTCTTACCTAAATCCTACTCTTGAGCTATCTCTTTTCCTTCCAAAACTACTTACACTCTTTCCCTCGCTATCATAATCATTTCCCTCTCTACTTACGTTGCCTAAGCTTCTTATTGTCCTTCAAACTCTCTATCATTTTCCTATTATTTTCTGACAAATCTTTCTTTCTCTCCAATCACTGTTTCCAATTCTTTCATAACCTCCTCTAATTTCTTCTCAATTTTCTAATTTCTTTATTTACATCTATGTCCCTTCTTATTCTAGCTACTTCTTTTTCCACTAAATCTCTCATTTCTTTTCTCTCCTCCGTACAATTTTTTCTAATCTCTTCATTTACTTCTACCTTTACTCTTTCCATTATACTGTTCTCCTCTGGCATGTCAAATGTCACTTTTTTCGAACCTACCTGTGATTT